AGGTCTCGGGATTAGCAGGGCCCAGTGAGGCATGAAACCATGGGTGCTTTGTTCAAAAATTATTGGAATTTCAAGATGGCTACAGCAGAGCACAAGGCAAGCCCAGGGCCCTCTTGAGCCCCGTGTGGCTTCACTGGTTGCCTATGCCCCTGAAGCTGGCCTTGTCTGGACTCTTAAACAGCAACTTACTCCTCAACCCCACACCTCCCCCGCACCCCCCCATGCACACACACGCGCACACACACACACACACACACACACACACACACCCAGGGATGGCCCGAGTGCATCTTCCTAAAGAACACCCACGCTGAGGAGCTGACTTTCCTCTTCCGTGTCTCTGTCTCTCCCTCAGCTCTGGCCACACAACTGTAAGCTCGGCCTCCATGGGGGTTCCTGACTCCGCTGGGGTGTGCTGAGGTTTTTCCAGGTCACGGTCAGATCTGGGCAAAGCAGAGAAGTTTTCATAAAGCTGCTTAGTATTTTTCCATAAAGTTCTTTATTATAAGGTTTTGTACTTACTTAAGAAAAGAAATTATGGTGATGGCAAATAGCATTTTTTATTTCGGCAAGGTATGATATTATTATTTTCTTTAAGTGGCAGTCCTTGGCCAATGATGGACTTCAAAAGAAAATTACTAGCCTGTGAATGCCTGAGAATAATGGGATGGGAGGTGGGAGAAGGGGTACGGGTTTAAAATCAAAGACGTGGTGGATGTAGGGATTTGATCGTATTGGGACAGGAGGGACACAAAGCAGGGTTTTTCACCAACAGTTCAGCACCCCCCATCCCTCACAAGACAGAGAACCGTCAAAACCCCTGAGCTCCAGCCTGGACCTTAGGAATGTTCCTGGTGGGCTCTTTCTTTCATCCAGTTTCTGGCCAAGGCTCTGTCCACCAATGAAGGGGAAAGCACTGCCTGCCCAGTGGGACGTGAGCGCTGGGGCAGCTCCTCATCTTAAGAACACATCCCCTATCCTCCACTCACCCACCGAAGTTCCACTATCAGTAATGTGCTGCTTTGGGTAGAATGCGAGCCCTCTGGTTTCTTTAAGTGATTGAGTACATCGGTTCTTTAATTTTTAATTTATTTCCTAAAGATCTATTTATTTATTTGAGAGAGCACAAGCAGGAAGGGCAGAGGAAGAGGGACAAGCAGACTCCACGCTGAGCACAGAGCCCGATGCAAGGCTCGACTCATGACCCTGAGATCATGACCTGAGTGGAAACCAAGAGTCCAAGGCCTAACAGACCGTGCCACCCAGGTTCCCTGCATTACTTCTTCTAAAATGCACTAAAACTGTAGATAAGAAAATGTTTCTGTGGCAGTTGGTATGGTGCCTGGAGCACTGAGAATGTTGTACAAAGATGATGATGATTGATGATGATGATGATGATATTAACATCACTAAATCCTAGCAAAGCCCCAAAAGATAGGTGCTAATATTATCCCCAATTTTTGGCTGAGGAAACTGAAATTCAGAGAGGTTGAATAAGTTACTCAAAGTCACACTGCTTGGAAGTAGAGAGCCAGGATTAAAATGGATGCAAACTGTGTCCCTAGGCCTGCTGAGGCACCTTGAGGGACCGCTGGTGCAAGATTGGGCTGACAGTGCCTTTACCAGTCCAGTGAACTCCCCCATTCTCACTGTACCACTGGATGGGCATACTAGCTTAAAAGCACTTCAAGTGAAAACACGAAGCCCTTTCTTAACCTCTATTTCTCTTTTTCCATACCTTCCTGTCTCTTGGCAATCCGTGTGTGACTCTGGAAGAACCTACTAGAGGAAACAAACCAGAAAGTTCCTCTCAGGACAACATCTTGCATCTGTAATATCTAGAAGCAGTATCTGATATTTAGTCTCATATACACTAGGTGCCTAATAAATGTCCAATCATGAGAAGGCAGCCTCTCTCAGGTGTCTGTCAAGCAGTCAGTGGTGTTACTGGAGCTCCCTAGCCAAAGGCTCCATCACTGAGCATGCCCCACAGAGAGCTCTATGCCCGCTTTCAACCCTACATCTCTCCCTACACATGGCCAAGCTCAAACTCATTACAATGTTTCTGAAAGATGTAGGAGGTATTAGCACAGTCCCATTGTCAAATTCAGGAAATGTCATCTGATATGTACCATCATCTACCATTACGTACCATCCACCCTCCAAATGTGTCTACTACAGTCCTGGAAATCTGAAAAACCAGTGAGTAAGGGTAGCACCTGTCCCACAGCATCTAATTAATGCAGGACTCCAAGGAAGAGCATGAAGGTGGGGGACCAGGGTCCCTGAAAGATTAGAATTGGTCGATGCCTCCAGATATGGAAAAATGTTAGACCCTTCACTCCCAGCTCACCCCAAAGCATACCTTCTTTTAACAAAAATCAGCCATTCTTCTGATATTAACCTTTGACATTCATTTATTAAATCTCCAGTGATTTGTTAAGAGGCAGTGAATTAATTGTGACAGAGACTAGGCAGTTGTAGCTCTGTGTATGAGAGAAACCATTTAAAACTGATTTTCCATTCCCAACACTTTAATTTTCAACACTAAACAAGCATTTGCCAAAACTTTTTATTTCATTTTTTTATTTGAGCCAGCACCAAATGGTAGGAATTTTTTTTTTAAATTGAATCCATCTGTAAATCAGAAGAATATTCTAGATGCTCTGGAAGAAAACTTTCCAAGCTCTATTAATTACTGAGTCTTGACATCTGGACCTCTCGCTGATATTCTTGCTCTAGCAGGCACATTCACAAACAATGTGCAATATCATTTCAAAGCATCGGTGTCTGTTTCGTTCCAATATGGATACTAATTTTATTTGCTTGAAGTTGCAGAGTTATCAGGAAAAGAGGATCGGAAATCAGAATTTTTGGCCAGGTTGGTAAACCTAACTTCACAGATCTTATGGTCGAAGCAAGCAAGAGGCCAATGGGGTCATAGAGCCAACTCTACCTGGTTCTTCCTCAAAGAAGAGAGAGGACACAGCCAAGAGAGAACACAAAACCCACTAACTGGACGCAAAGCTGTCCCTCAGCCTTCCTTTTCTGAGTGCGGGCTCACGCACACACTGCCGTTTTGTTCCTTCGGAGTGCCTGGCTGCCTAGAAAAGCTTGAGAATAATTCTGAGTTGCATCGTGATCACACCAACCTTGGGTTAAGGCTCTCGGTCCTCCTCCTTTCTAAAAGGATCAAATACAAAAACACTTGAAAGGGGTGACATATAATTCAGGAATACAGAAAGGTAGGGGAGAATCACTTTGGGAAGAAGAGTGGAGAAGTTTTCTTTAGTACCAGCTGTCCATAGCATTCGATCCAGGGCTCTAAGACATGGGTTGTTATTTCTAGGCCTAAATACGCTACGCTTCCTTTTATTCTGTAGATTATGGAGTCTGTTTCCACAAAGATCAGTTAAAATTGGGTTGGGACAGAAAAGCAACCTAGAGAAGCAGAAGAGGGAAAGGATGAGAAAAAATTCTTGTGCACCTGGAACACATCAGGAGCGTTAGACATCTGGGGACACTTCGACTTCATCTTTACCTTTGTAAATATACTGCCTCACTTTTTTGAATTTCCTCCTGATGTGTCCCACCTGTTAATACAAGGTAAAATCTGTTCCTTTGTCAAGGAATATAAAGAAATAAGGCTGCCTGCAAGTTTTGGTTGTTTTTTTTTTTTTTTTAAATTTATTTATTTGACAGAGAAGAGATCACAAGTAGGCAGAGAGGCAGGCAGAGAGAGAGGAGGGAAGCAGGCTCCCTGCTGAGCAGAGAGCCCGATGTGGGGCTCGATCCCAGGACCCTGAGATCATGACCCGAGCCGAAGGCAGAGGCTTCAACCCGCTGAGCCACCCAGGTGTCCCTTGGTTGGTTTTTAATACAACCTCTTTTAAAAACATTTGCCAATTACAGTTTCAACCACATAATGGAATTTTCACTCTTTTATTCTGTTTTTAGAACATAGTTGCTGCTTAGAGTTGGTAATGGGTTTATTAATCTTTCACTGGGTAGACAAGAAGACCCTTCACTGTGGCATTAACCAGGGTTTCTCAACCCGGGGATTGTCGAAGTTTTGGACCAGAAAATTCTTTGTTGGGGCTGTTCTGTGCAGTGTTGGATTTTGGCAGGACCCTTGTCTTATACCCAGTATCACCTGTTGTGAGAACAAAAAATGTCTCCAGACCTGCCAACTGCCCCCCTTCCGGGGCAATGCTTCCCTCCACCCTAGAAACACGAGCCACTGGCTTTAAGACAATCATTAAAATATGAAAAGGAGATATTAAAGTAGACACCCATCTGAAAGGTCAAAGTTCTTATTTCCCAAGTGTTTCATATTTGGAGAGTATTTTAGTAGATCTTATCCACTGCCTCGCCTCCCCCGATTACATGGTGGACTCATCCACTGAAATCTGACATGGCAGAATCCTCTCCCAGTCCCCAGAGAGATAAGTCATGAAATTCCATTTCCTTTTGCCCATTTCTCAGTTCTGGACTGAGACATAAAAGGGGGGAAATGTTTGGGAAGTCCTCCTTTTGTAAGATTAAAAATAATAGTAATTATAAATAAGTTCCTCTCTAAAAAGAAAGTCTTTTTTGCCCTATCTGTTTTTTTTCCCCACTAGAATGTTTGTCTTTGAATGTGAATATCCTGCTTGGAACATAAGCAGCCCCTCACAATCACAAGGAACTAAGGGAAAAAAAAGAAGAAAGAAAGAAAGAAAAAAAAATTAAATGCCAACAGCTTGAGGAAGGTAAAGCAGAAAGAACAAAAGAGCTTCAGTCCTTGATGATATCTTTGAACCACTGAACCAGCCTTGGAATGTCCACTGTAAGCTGCTTGTTAGTTGAAATAATTCAACACTTTTTTTGCTTAGCCAAATCAATAGCTAGCAAACTATGATTTGTGGAACTAAGAACAGTTTTTACATTTTTAAAAGGTTGTTAAGAAACAAAGGTTGTTAAAAATAAACAGCCATATGGGGCCCACAAAGTCTAAAATGTTTACTATGGGGCCCTGCACAGATAAAGTTTGCCAACCCCCAATCCAAACCACTCATAGCTAATGTCTTGTGATTTGCAACCCAAAGCATTCTTAACTAAAACAAGTACTCATATCTTCATTTTACAATTACAGAAACTGAAGCCTGAATCTGCCAATCGTAGGCTCAACCAGACAAGTCAAATACAAATTTGCCATTACTTCAATTCATTGTAAAGTTAAGCCAAATTGAGGCATCACAAAATATTTAACAGACTTTTCTATTTCTTGGGGCTTCAAATCATATTTGTACCACAGGTTTGATTTTACAAATCAGAATAGATAAAGCCTCTTGATGGAACACAATATGCTCAGTGAAAACCTTCAAAGGGGGGTCAGACTATTCTACTATCTGGAGCACCAAGGCATTTCCTGTCCTAGGAAGTCAAACCTTGAGACCCCAAGGAGGAAAAGACATTACAGAAGTACACTAGGAATAAACCTGCTGATTTGATAAATCACCTCTTCTGCTTGCTGAAACAGTTCCTGCATTTCCTTGCTGACTCACTTAGAATGAATCCTTAGTGAAAAAATATCCAAAGGCTTCCTCCATTAACTTTAGCACCCAAGTTAATACTGCTGATCCCAGTTGGACCAGCATGTTTGGTAGCACCTTGATAAAGGATTTGAATATTGACAAAATCTTATACTCAGAGTCAGGTCCCCAAGAAGGCAGACAAAGCTCATTGTGGAGCACATCAGAGGAGTGTTGTATGAGTTACAACAAACACTTGCTCCCATCTCATCACGGCGCCATAACTGAGCACTGAGTGACTGTCAGGGCTGGGCTTTCCTCAGCGGATCGATCTAACATTTCTTTGACCTTATATCCCAGTGCCTATCCCAGTACAGTAGGTGGTCAGTCAGGAACAAAAGCCCTCAGTCTACACCCAGTACTGGTTGTGCTTCAGGGTTGGGTTGGTTTGTCGGCAGAGCTTGACCATATCGGGATCCAGATTCATCCATGTCTCCCAAGGAGCACATTTCTCCACTGGCTCAGTGGCTGGAGAAACCATTTGCTCACTTTGTGGGTCCCTGAAAAGACTGACCGGGGGATTGCTGGAGCTTTTTAGAAGGGGTGTCACTGTGACAGTGGGAACGGTTCTGCTCCTTTCTGGCCTAGGACTTGGGGTTGTAGGTTCCAGATTAGTCTGGGGCTTGATAAGAGGCTTTGTCTTTTCTACCTTCTGGCCCAGCAGCCAGACACACAAGGCCACTGCAGTTACTATCAGCAGGAAGACCACCACAGCCAAGGGTACAATGACCATCAAAGGGTAACTGCTCTCCCTGGGCTGGGTGGGTGTTCCAGGCCTGGCATTGGTAGTGTCCAGTGGCCAAATGACCCTGGTTGGAGAGGCCTTGCCATCCAGAGTAGGCTCTTCACCACGGTGTTGTCCCCAGGGATTTGTTTCCTGCTGCCTGGTCTGGGCCAGCTTCCCCAGAGTTTCTGTCTTTGCCGTGGGTCCTGGGGAAACCACAGGCTTTCCCCGAGAGAGATCTGAAGTCACAAGGTTATGGGCAGTGACTAATAAGGAAACATCAGGGGTAAAGGTTTGCAAACATAAGGGGTCAGGTGGCACTATGCTGAAGGCAAGATGACCTATTGCTGGCTGTACGTGGTCTGCCCTGAGCAAGAAGGTGAAGGAGTCATTCAGCATATCGATGTCTGTTAGGTTGGCATGTGCATGAAGCATCAACAACCCTTGGTCAATGTCCCTCTGAGAGAACAGAGTAGCATTTTCCATCGCTGTGCCTCGGCCCACTCTTCGTACAAGTCTCCCATGGACAGGGGGTTCGGTCACTTCAAATTTGGGATCACTGTTAGTCCTATTAGCAAGCTCAGTGGCATCAAGGTCCTTTCTTCTCAGCGGATAAACCACCCTGTTGGCGATTGTCAGGTTTGACCTAATCCGCAGTAAAGGCTGCACTCTGATGTTCAGCATTTGTCCCGTCAGGTTGCTTTCTGGTGTAAATAGTGAGAAATACAGCTGGTCCTCTGAGGCCGTGAGATCTGTCATACGGTAACAGAGTCTTCCTGAATGCAGGTCTTCCTGCTCAAAGCTGATGACCACCTGGTTTTCAATAAGCAGATGCCCATGTTCGAGGGGACTTGTCATCTTGTAAGTGATTTGAGGGCTTTTCCCATTGGTCATTGCTGATAAGTGAGTATTGGTGATGGGGACAGTTGTCTGGCCTTGTGGGAGAAGTAGGTCCGTGAGGTTCACAAGGGTGATGGAAATGGGGATGACATCCAGGTGGAAGAGCTTATAAAGTGGGCGGTGTTGGCCATCAGTCACACTAAAGTAAAACACACCTGAAGATGGGCTTCCATTTTGTATAAACCATACCTGAGAGTTATCAATGTCAGCTTGCGTGAAATGGTGAACAGGTATGTCTGGATGGTGAGCCATTGCTAAAATGCCATTATTAGGATTACGGATGATCATATATCTGATCTCCTCTGGAGGACTGTCTAGATCTTCCACTCTTAGGTTTTCAGGACCCACAACCAAACTATTCCCCTGCAGAACCTTCAACCGAAGCCCTTTTGTCTTTAATTCTGGTGCCTGGTCATTAACAGGGGAGATAGTGATGTTAAACATCTCTTCAAGGAAGTTGGCCTCTGGTTTGGTGGTGGATTTGCTCTTTTGTTTTGGCCAAACAGCAAAGGTAAAATTATCAGCCAGAGATTCAGAGTCATCGTGAAGGTATAGGATTCCAAATTTATTAACTATATACTGAGAGAAGTTGGGTTTTCCTTTGGTAATATTCCTCTCTCCAACCATGATGGTTCCATGGTGAGGAAGAGACGTAACCTGGAACCAGATTTCATAATAAGATCGCTGAGATTTGGGCAGTTTCAACAAGAGGTTGGAAGCATCTAAATTAGATTGATCAATGACAACTTTGTCTCCCTCCTTGACAGCAGCTCCTGTGAAAATATAAAGAACAAAGTGGCATTTCACTAGAACTTTCAGATGTCACCTGTAAAAGCTCTTTCTCTCTCAAATTTCCCAATCCTAGTGGATTATTCTAAACCCCTGTGTTGCTCAAGAACCTGAATTAGCAGTTACTCAAGGTAACAATGCATATAACAAATTGTATTTTAAGTATACATATCCTAACTATTAGGTCAGTATTTCAGGCAAGAGAATTCTAAAATCTTGAGATTCACTTTTAAAATGTTAATTTTCTCACTTATCTACCACTGGACCTTCTCTTGCCGTAGAAACAGGTGCAGCTTTCAATACCCCTTTCCTTTCAGGAACTTGCCCTATTGTTATTTTCATTTTCTATAAATGGTTTCCAATAGTAGGCATGGTAAAGTCCCCATTTGGAGTTACAAATAAAATCCTTTAGAGCTACTTTTCCATTTTCCCCCTAACTACAACTATTAAAGCTTATGAGAGGAAAAAGAGTCTCAGAGAAAGAGCACACATAAAGAAATACATTTTTATAACCATATACATTTTATTTCAAAGGTTGATATCATGCCATTTCCAATTCATAAGGATAATATTTCCAAATTGTCCCTACTTTAATAATTACAGATAAACCACTGACCACATCTTTTAGTGGCCTTACCTGTATTTGCAAGCAAACGACTCTGCCGACCAGGCTCAGTAATTTCATATGAAATAGTAATACGAAACTCCTCAGGACCTAGAGCTGCTGGTGGGGAGGACGTTGTGAATGTGAAAGAGTCTTCTGCAGTCCAGCCGGTGTTCTCATGGTCCATATGCTGGTATAATATCAGCCGTTCACTGACCTGCGCAGACAGGAAGAAGAATCAGCCCCTGCCTTCCCAGATAATATGAGGACTAACACATATCCCAACTGAAGGAGATACAAGTTTTTTTCAGGGTTTATTCTCATGCTCAAATTAGGCACATATCTATGTAAACACAAGAACACTAACAATGTGGTAACCTATTTGTCGGTGTGAAACTCAGTGTTCAATGGCAAAAATAGTTTATCAGAGAAAGAAAACACATTGCTTTTGAGATATCTAAGGCTATGGTTTGTATATTATAGAAAGCATATAATGAACCTTCATTTGCCACTCTGATAATTTTAAAAACTATCAACTCAGAACCAATCCTATTTTATGTAATACTCCTACCCACATTGTGCTCAGTAGCTTATTTTGAAGCCAACCCCAAACACTGTTTTATCTGTAAATGTTGTAGTAAATATTGACAAAGATGGCTCTTTTAAAAACATAATCACAATGCCATCATCACATCTAAATATTATCAACAGTTACTTAATATTATCAAATATTCAATTAGTGTTCAAATATATCTGATGATCTAGTACATGGTTTTTTGTTTGTGTATTTTACACAGTTGGTTCGTTTGAGTCAGGATCCTTAGTAAGTCCCCACAACACATTTGTTTGATGCTTTTCATAGGAGTCTCTTAGTCTATAGGTTTCCCTTCTCTATTTTTTTTTTCTTGTAATTAATTTGTTAGAGAGTTTGGGTCATTTGTCTTACAGAGCTTCCTATATTCTAGATTTTGCTGGTTGCATCCCAATGGTATTGTTAAACATGTTCTTCTGTCACCTATATTTCCAACACACTAGTAGTTAAATCTAGAAATGTAGTAAGAATAAGATTTAAGTTTTTGTTAAGACTGTTTTACAGGGTGTACTTTATATTTCCTCTGCATCTCATTACAAGACTGTTTCTCTTTTGGACATGTTAGTATTAATAGTTGAATTCAAGTGTTGCCAGGTTGATCTATCTATTTTAAAGTTCCCCACCAGCCTTATCACCTGATAGTTTTATAAAGTTATTGATATGAATGCTTAAGTCCCTTATTTTTGCAGTGGCAAGGCACTGATATTTTTAATCATTCCTTCTTCATTCTTTTCTGGAATTCTTCTATAAAGAAGAACTTTCCCTCATCAGCTACTTGGCTACACTGAGGTACAGCATATGTAGGAAAGAAAGGATAAATACTCGATTTTTTTCCCTTTATACCAATTTTTAGAAAAATGAGTCCTGTGGCTCCAATATGCAAACATACCCATTGGTTTTTGTTTTGTTTGTTTTGGGATTATTATAAACTCATGAGTTTTAATATATGATGTATTTCATTCCATTGCAGTTCTTACTCTCCTTGATGTTCAGAGTTTCCCACCTCACGTAGGGTATTTTTCAAGATTTAATCTAAGCCCCTGATGCCTGTTGCCTATCAATGTCTTGTCTAGCTCAACTGATAGAGATGGGCCCCACCCAGTGTTTTACTGTCCAGATCCCTTGTGGGTAGTCCTTCCCCTAACAACAGTGACTGAAAGTTCTAAATCTCAAACCACAGAAGGGAAGGCTTGAGATAAAATGTCTCACCCTTTCCTTCCTATAGGTCACTAAAATGTCTCACCCTTTCATTCCTATAGGTCACATCTTTTTCTGACCTGCCTTCTATGATAGTATCTGAACTTATAGGTAGGTTGTTTTCAAGGTGTTTATGTCCATGTCAGAAGGGTCTAGGATAAATTATCATAAAATTCACAGAGCAGTTGAGTTTATTTCATCAGTCAGTATTTGGAAATACTGTATTAATTAACAGAAGCTTGGTTGTGTACTGCTCTGGCTCAACACTGGTGCAATGGATGCACCTGGAATCAGAGTTCTAGAAAGGCTTTTGGTCTAGTGAGTTACCATAGAATATGAGCTTCCTGTTTCCAGAGTGTCCAAAAACTGTTGAGTTTTTTATTTTTTTCCTATTCAAGAGCAAGGCAAGGAAATGCTGTCATTTGGGGATTTTAAGGGGGGAGAAGAAAGTATTGTTTCTCAACATTTCCTCATCAAGAAGCAAGGTCACTCATGAAGAATTGGTTTCCCCAAAGGTAATTTCTGGTAGTGACCACTGACTTGATTCCCTAGAAGTTTCTGGGGGAAAAATATTAGTTTTATTTAGCAGTCCTACTATTTCTATTCTTAGCTAAAGAGTTATGATAAAATATTCATCATAAATGTATTCCTCTTCCTAAAAACAAGTGACAGTGTCATGGGTTTTGGACTGGAGAGTGGTTCCTAAAGGTTCCCATTCTGCTTGAAAGAGGCATACTATTATAAGACAAGAGATATCCAGCTTCTTAATATTAAAAGTAACATAGTTTACTGACCAGAAGGAAAAAATTTTCTTGGAAGTGATCTTGTCCTTTGCTTCTTTGGTTTAAGTAAAAATTAACTTCCCCCCAAAATACATAAGTTACTAGAATAATCTAAGGGTCTTGTGATGTCTACAGGATGAAGAATGATTGTCCCAGGGAAAGAATGGTTCTCAAGATGAGAGCAGTTGAGATGAAGGTCAAAAATCTGAGAGAAATTAATTGGAGAGGAGCCCTAACCATAGCTGTGTACTTTGGAAGACTCCTGGAGGAGAGGTCTGCTATCAGTTATTTTTCCAAAAAGTAATTCCAAAAATGAGAAATTGTGAATAATGTATTTACTCATTCTATGCTGGAGAGTGAGAAAATCGAATTAGATTCATCCTGAGTGTCTGAGCTTCAAGACTGGACAGCAGGTAATTGAAAGTGCTAGAAGCAAAAGGGAATGAGTGTGGCTATGGAATGTCAACTTGGCACTCATGCCCTGAAGGAGCTTTGGGGTGAGTAGAGTCTTTAATAGATGACAGAGAGCTTTAAGAATCAGATTCCAAGGGTGCCTGGGTGGCTCAGTCAGTTGAGCATCTGATTCTTGATCTCAGCTCAGGTCTTATTCTCAGGGTTGTGAATTCCAACCCGGTGTTGGGCTCTACCCTGGTCAAGGAGCCTACTTAAAAATAAATAAATAAGAACCAGGTTCTGAGGTGTGTGTGTGCGTATGTGTGTGTTTGGTGGCAAGGGCTGGAAAAGGGAGAAGAAGACCAATACTTATAGGGAAAAGTGTAAGGTAAACCTCAAGAGAAGGATCTCAGACAGGATTAGGAATTTTGAATAGAAAGTGGCCTTAGGGTCAACTTCCAACAGCTCTGCATATTTCTGCTGTATTAAATATAGATAGATAAGCCACTTAGCTGAATACCTAGGCTCTGAGATTAAGGAGAGAGGAGAGGAGAGGAGAGGTTTTTATTTCCCACGGATTTAGATTAGCCCAGATATTTTCTCTTTTACAGATGGAGTCTTTCTGGAATGTCATTAGAAATTAAATTTTGTAGAATTCCAACTAGTAAATGCAGAAGGAAAAACAGAATGAGCAAAACCACTGTTTGGCAATCACTACAGTAATAAATATTTCACAGGTAAGAATCCAAAAATGATTGCTTATACTAGTGAGCTAAGCTGTGCTGAGAAACAGGGTATTTCAATAGTTCCAAAGTAGTTCCTCACAAAATACTTAATTACAGAAAGGGAAATAGTGAGTTCGCCAAGGAGAAACCGGAAGGAGAGCACCTAAGTGGGGGACATCACCAGCGACAGGGCGGAGTGAGCACTGGTGCTTCCTGACGTGAGGCTGGAGGAGAACTCGGCGTCTCTCATGCCATTCCCACCAAAGCGCACAATCTGAATCAGACTGTGAGGAAATGTCCAATGAAACCAAACTGAGGAACACTCTACAAATAACTGGCCTGTTCTCCTCAAAAAATGGCCACATCACAGAAGTCAGCATGGCTGCAGAATGCTTTCAGATTAAAGCAGACTGAGGACACCTAAGAACTAAATGCTATGTTTTACACTGTGGATTTTTTCCTTTAGGATATTCTTGGACATTCTTTTTTTCCTAGAGGATATGAATTGAAACAACTTGTGAAATTTGAATAAGATCTATAGATTATATAATAGCACTGTATCAATGTTAATTTCATGATTTTGAAAATTATACTGTGGTTATATGAGAAAGGCCTTGTTTTAAAGAAATATGAGCTGAGGTATATAGAGATTAATCATGCCTGCAACTGGCTCTTAAAATTTCAGAAGTGTGTGTGCATGTGTGTGTGCGAGAGAGAGAGAGGAGGAGAGAAGAGATACGATAAAGCAGATAGTTAAAAGCTAACATTTGGGCAATAAGGATGAATAGTATACTTTGTACCCTTTTGCAATTGTTCTGTAAGTCTGAAATTATCTCAAAATAAAAAAGTTAAAAAAATAATTCTAAAAAGTAAATCCCGTAGTGTTTTACTATATCAACTTCAGGAAGGGACCAATGGTTTCTTTTCTCTGATGACCAAGTATGTGCAGAATGACCTGAGTAGTCCTTTCATTTGAAATGACAATACGATAACACCCCTTTGGGTCTCTGAGATCTCAGTCTTCTGGATTTCACATCCTTGGTTCCTACAGAATCACAGAGAAAAGTATTTGTCAGAGGCCAGAAGGATAGATTTGGCTTCAAGAAGGCCAAGGGCCCTACTGACTTTTCTGTGCTGGGTTAAAGTTTACAGCTGAGAGGCTGCTGAGAAGCTCAGAGAGGGTGGAATTAGGGAACTCCTCTCCATCCCCCCCAATCATTGGCCTAGTTGGGAGCAGAGCTGAGACCAGAAGCCAGATCTCCACACTTGAAGATAAGAACCCTTTCTCCTAGAGCACTGTATTGGACACTATTTGGCTCCAACTGCCTGAATGATTACTCTTCTTCCTCCAAGGAGGAAGAGGACACACATTAATATAAAAATGGAAGCAGAGGAGTGTAGTAAAATTGGAACCATGGGTTGATCAGACCTACATTCAAATATAAGTGCTTCCAACTTTCAGCTCTGTGGCATTTATGCAGGACATTTAATCTCTCAGAGCCTACATTTCTGCATTAAAATATGGAAG